TCACTAAAAGAAACTGTTTGAAGTGATCTCTGGAGACTACTTAAAACAGAAAGATAGAGTAATACAGAAGCCCAAATACAAGTTATGGAGACAATTAATTGGTGGAGAGAAATGGGCTCTAAGGTAATAAATAATTTTGCTAATTACTTTGAATGCTAGTGGCAGCCAAAGTATGATATGTGGATGACTTGTGCAAGAGGAATTTATTAGAATATGATAGTTACCAATAATATAATTGAGTCATTCCATTATAAGCTAACATATTCTTATTTAAGAGGATGGCCAGGTAAATTAAAATGAGTCAAATTTTTTTATTTTATTTATTCTTTATTTCAATTTATTTTTTTTAATGTTTTTTATTATTTTAATTTATTTTTTTTCACTTTACTGGAATTAAATTATTATTGTTCATTGTATAAATTTGTATTTGTTTCAATTCTGCATATTAATTACCATTGTTAAAACAATAGTAATATATAGAATTGTAACAAATAATAATTTGAATTCTATGAATTTCGTATATTACATTGTTGCAATTCTATATATTACTATTGTAAAGCAATAGTAATATATCAAAATGCAACAATGTAATACAGGTAAGCTTATTTCAGGTCCTATCTCTGTTATGCACTAACCAGTTTTTAATAATTCCTAAAGCAAAAGTTACACATTTTATTTTTATTTATTTTTTTTCTCATAAATAAATATATATTCGCAGAGTTTCATTATGAGTTTCGTCATTCGTTATGAGTTTCATCATTCGTAATGGGTTTCATCATTTATCACAGGTTTCGCCATTTGTCATTCATCTAATTGAAGCTGCTAAACGAAAAGACTTCATCATTCATCTAGATGAAACTATTTCATATTTTGTGAGGCTTCATTAATAGGTATTACGATTCTTTGTAATACTTGATGTCCTGTTATTTTTTGTTGTAAGGGTTTGAGTAGGGTTGTTAATGGAGTACTCCAGACTATAATAAAACATATAACCCGCCTCTGGAGTGCTCCGGAGTGGGTTATACGTTTTATTATTGACTGGAATACTCCATTAACAACCCTAGGTTTGAGTATATAAAGAAGAATGTTATGAAGAATAAATATAAAGAGTTAAAAATAGCTTTACTGTAATAAGTTAATACTCCATAGTATTTAGTTCGAAATTCTAATTTGAGGTACGACATATACCATAAATGACGAACCTAGCATCGCCCAAAAATCATTTACATAGTGGCGCTTGAATTAAAGATAAGTTTGTAATTATTACATATCAATCAATATAAAGGTACTACTTTTTTTGAACTATAAAAATTTTTGTAATTATTACAAATCAATATACTAATCTTTATGAATGATAAAAATTTTTTCTTATTTTATGAATCCTTTTTGCAAATCGTGCCGAAAGTATAAAGCTTTAAAGCTTTTCAAAAAAATAAGACTAGTTCCGAATGTTTGGTACGTTTTAGAGATAGTAAAAAACGAAAGCATGAAAAAAGGAATGCTGATAACTTGGAGACAATGTGTTTGATGTGGAAAATACTACGGACATAATTTACAAACTATGGATAAATTAATGAATATTTGAAAGTATTCATAGGTTTTATTTTGAAATAACAATTTATTTAAGTACATGGATTAATGAAATTCCCTTGGAGATGAAACAATACACTGCAATTGCAAATAAAGTTGTCAAACTTGTTGAACAGGGAGATGGTTACATTTTGATAACCACTAACGAATATATGATTCAGAAACTAGTGAGGAACCTATGATTAACAAAGCAATTGAACTGAAAACAATACTTAAAAAGGTGTTATTTATTTTATTTATTTATTATATTTTTTAAATATAACAAAATTAACTTTTTTTGATAGTAAAATTTATTGAAAATAATAAATCATCCCCAACAAAACAAATGGCTAAATGTGGTTGAAAAAAACTTTGATCAAAAAAATGGTAAAGAACTTGGAGGAATTCGATGCAAAAAATTAAGTAAAAATGGAGTAGGCGTATTTCAAATACTTTCTATTGGCAGTAGTGATTTTCAAAAAATATTTATGCAATAATTTAAGACTTTCAAGCTATGAAATACTCGGTGGATAATTTCATTGCGCAAACATGTAGTGTTTTATTTTTTTATTTAAATCACTTTTAAATCTAATATTAAGGTTTTTAAATCATAATAAAATTAAATTTGTGATTAATCTTTTATTGATATATGAATTTTCATATTTTATTTTTGCCCATTTAAATTATTGTAAATTAATTTGTTGGAATTTTGATTTAAGTGCCGTTACGTACGTAACTGATTTTTGGGCGATGCTAGGGTGGTTACCATAAATTAACATGAAGTTAATGATAAATTAATATCTCTCTACTACTCACACATTAAAATGAATTCAAATATCTTGTAACTAAATGCCTTATCTACTTAATTAGTGCAAACGAAACAAAGTCGTACGAGAATACTTATTCGCAAATTTAACGAATTAGAACCTTTCAATTTAATTAGGATGAAATGAATACTCAATTAAGTGAATAAAAATAAATATTCGCTAATTAATACTGTATGAATGGGTTTATAATTATGTGGATATCTAGATTTTTAATATATAATTAATAATGAATCGATTCTTCACTGACAATCATTATAGTTACCGACAGGTAATTCTCAGACAAAGTTTATTTTATAGACGATTAATTCACAGACAAATTCATTTCATAAATTGTATAACTCACCAACAGTTCATTTCACAGGTTTTTTTTAATAAATTTCACTAACCTTAAGGAGTATGCCATTTATTCCAACGATAATGACCAGAATTAATTTTTCTGCAAAATGAGCTGTCGGTAAAATACAATGCCCATGAATTGAACTTGTCTATGAATTAATCATCGGTAAAATAATATTGCCTGTGAATTAATCATCGGTAAAATAATATTGTCTGTGAATTAATCATCGGTAAAATAATCTAAAATAATCTTGTTTGTAAATTAATTGTTGTGCACTAAGTTTTCTATTAAGCGATTATCGGTGAAATAACACAGACCCGTAATGAATAACGAACGATAGAATAATCGAATATCTGTAAGATATTTGGGGCTGCTTCCGTGGCTCTTGATTCATTCAATGATTTATATTACTATACTGATATTTTTAACCAGTTTCATCTATTATAAAGTAAAACCTCAAATGACAAATGACAAAGCTGTTGAAAAGAAATGAAACTAATGAAAAGTGATGGACTAATGAAAGGTGGCAATTGACAAAAGGTGTAGAACTACAAATGTGCGAATATGACAAAAAGTGTGAATCTGACAAAGGTACGAAACTGACAAAAGCTAGCAAAATTGATACACTCAAAATATGTACAAGGTTATAAAACCTACATGTAGGGCTATAAGATTTTTCTCAGGAGTTAAATTGTTTATTTGTGTAAGATAAGAGGCTTATAGAACAGGATTTGGAAATAAAAGTTTAAGCCTCATTGTAGAATGAAAATCACATGATTACCTAAATTTGACCTTATTAATTGTCGGTGAAACGAGGTGTCTGTGAAGTGATTGTCGGTGAAATGCGCACCACCCCTATTAAACTAACCGGTACTATCTGATACTTCAATTGATAGTAATGGTACATTCCAACTAATTTCAAAATTCGTGGACCACCCTAAAACTTTATCCTGAATTATTGTCGATAGCGGGTAATCACGAGTTCTAGATTATGTATTTATATTGATATCGATGTAGTATCAGGTATGTTTTATTAAAATAAATAAGCAAGTTACAAATAATGATTTTTCTAGACTACATCGATATCAATATAATACATAATCTAGAACCGCAACCCGCATCCCGACAATAATTCGGGATAAATTTTTAGGGTAGTCCACGAATTTTAAAATTAGCTGTAACATTTGCATGAATAAATAATATATTTTATAAATAACATATAACTTTGATTAGGGAATTTTTTTTTTTTTTGGATATCTATTTAACTATTTGATGCTTTGATTAATAATGATGATGCATAATATTTTAGCATGAATAAATGATATATTTTTATACGTAACGTTGAATAGAGAATTATTATAAATTTGTATTTTACCTTGAGCGCAAAAAAATTTTTTACATACCTTATTCATAATCGTAATATCGTAATCAGTGTTTCGGCCTAAACCTGATTTTGCAGATCATTTGCAGATCAATTGGGCGAAACTAGTTTCGGAGGGTTTCGGACTTATAGGGTGAAACTAAAATTCCTCTGGGCGAAACGTTTCGGACTTTTGGGGAGGTTTAGGCCGAAACACTGATCGTAATAATGGATAGTGAAGATTATTTATTTTTTAGAACTATATTACTATGTATATGTGATTGGTAACATTAATAAAATACATATATTCTGATTGCGGCTAGCTTTTTTTATAATAATTCTTATAGTAAAAATTTGTTCAGTTTGGCAAAAATTTTCTATTTAGATTGTTTATTATAAAAATTCACCATATCTAATTTACAATCGGATATCCAAAATTCGCGGCTATCCGAAAATAGACTAAACGGATAATAATAATAATAACCGTTATCCACCGGCGGTTTCCCACCTGCATAACGCAGGTCGTTTATATTTATATGTTATTGCTATACGTTCCCAGCTAAATTTAGCTATATTAGTATTCACGCCATAAACCCTAAATTAGTTATCTTCTTGCATATACCGGATTCTCTTGTTTGAACGAGATCACCCATGTGATCGTCGTCGCTTGCTTAGCTGTTGAACTATTGTCAATCAGATTTCTAAAACAGAGTTGCTGGTTAAACTGGTGACTATCTAAAATCTGATTGCTAACATAGTAAATAACCAATCACATTTTAGTTAGTCGCCAGTTTCACTAGCAACTCTAGTAACTATACATGTAAAACGGGTTAACACTGTTGCATGCTAATTTAGAAATCGGTATGACTTATATATAAGTACTTTAAAGACTTTCTAATTTTTAAAAATGCTCAGAAAATTCTGCGTCATTCCCGTCATACTTAGTCTCAGTATCTACCTATTTTACTACTTTTCATACCACCTCCAGCCCTTAAATTTGACAGTCCCACATATTATAGATGATACCTATACCAAACCTCCACCGGAAGTGGATCAGAACTTAACTATCTTCATTGGGATTTTGACCATTTATGAGAAAATCGAGGTTAGGGAGTGTATTCGCAAGGTGTATACACACAATAATGACGCTCTGGCACGGTATCTCGGAGTCAAGAAATCTCCCGTGACGATTAGGTTTATCTTGGGACTGACTAAGGATGAAAATAAAGATAAACTGGAGGAAGAATCTAAACTGTACGGGGATATTGTTATTTTGAATATTACAGAAAACATGAACGAAGGGAAGACATTTGAATATTTCAAATGGTTTGCTAAGCATGTGAGTATTCTTGTCTTGTTATGTCGTCAATAAGTACTCATTATTTTGAATACGCTTAGAGGAATGATATTTATCTAGTCAAAACCGACGATGACTCTTTCATTCACCTTATTCACTACTATCGTGACCTTCAAGACTTACCGAGAAAACGTGCGTACTATGGTGGTGTATACGGTGGCAATAATCTAGATGATAGTAGTACATACTCGTATATTGGAGGTATGTTTTTTATTCCATTTTATCACCAACGCTTCGTGCATTCTTTGATCTGTTTTCTTAAAACTCGAAATAAGGTGCGGGATATACACTCTCTCGCGACCTCGTTATAGACATTGTTGGTTCAGACTGGGTTAGTTTAAATGTTAAGGGTACTGAGGATATGGTAGTGGGTGATTGGATATGTCATGTGGCCAAAGAAAAGAAGTACTTTGTGCACTATGTCGGCTATTCAGTATGGTGGTCCATCCGTCAAAATCCATTCCATGACTTTTATGAAGATCTGGACCTCCACTCCCTTGGTGAGACCATCTTGATCCATCAAATAAAAAGCATTGAGAAATGGAATGCCATGAAGGATGTGTACACCAAATATGAAGATGGATTGCCAACACTCAGTATAATTCAGAATTCAACGGCCAATGACCTGGTTACAAAGAGGGAGATTATTCCAAAATGCTGGGAAAAAGAACAGGTATGGAATCAAACTTTGCAGCGTAACTACAAGAACTGGTTCTATGAAGCATGGGGTTATAAGGAAGGGAAGTGGTATAAATATTATGGGCCTGTGGATAATATAGAGAATACTGGATAGAAAATTTATATTTTTTTAAATACATAATTTACAGTATTTAGTATTAATTGCTGCAAATATTGACAAAATACACGTCGTGGAGTTATGCGAAATAGAATTAATTTAATCAAAATTTAGGACAAAATTTAATGTAGGCAGTTTTTTTTTTTTTTTTAAGACCCTTGGCTTAAAGCCGTGGGGTGCCATTGGCGTACACTTTATTTATAGTAAACTATTAATAAGGTGGCTGCGCGACGCTGTCACGCGAAACCAGGAACGTAAATTTATGAATTACCGTAACTCGATTAGATAATATGGGTATGGTGCAAAATGCCTAAAACATTCGATATTTCTACTCATATATTTCAAATTTCGCAAATTATATTTACTATAATTACGTGTAAGATTTACCTAATTAATTATGAGATATAATCAAAATAACCCATAGTGATCATCACCACCCTAGATATATTTAGGGTTAGGGTGTGGGTATTAAGAATTTTTTTTTTTTTTTTAATATAATGTAGCGCTAATATAGGTTCCCGATTTTAGTTCTCGTGAGGTTATCAGGGGTCCTGAACATTTTTACTTATAGCACCCGATCCCGTTTAGAAAAATCACGATTTCGAATACATTGTTATATTAATAATCGACTGGATAATATTTATCAATTACCGTATCCTGCCGTGAATAAGCACCCACCTTTTGCAATTTTCATATCCAAGTTTCTCATGATCTAGTGATCAGAT